TTAGCAACAATAATATCTAATCGTGAATCTTGGTTGATATCAGCTAGAACTACACTGGATGGAGCAGTTCCAACTAAATACGATATTTTTTGATGAAAACTACCATTGCCATATCCAAGGAATATATTTACATTATTACTGCCATAGTTGGCGACCACAATATCTAATCGAGAATCATTGTTGAGATCGCCAACAGTCACACTGTATGGTAAAGATTCAACTGAATAAGTCAGTTGATTAGAATAACTGCCATTACCATATCCGAAAAGTAAACCCACATTTCGGTTTTCTCCATTAGCAACAACGATATCCAGTCGTGAATCTCCATTAAAGTCACCAATAGCCACACTGGCTGGATAAACTCCTGTTGGATACGTCATCTGATCAGCGAAACTCCCATTACCATATCCAAGAAGTATACTTACAGTATTGTCTTTTGAATTAGTGACAATAATATCCATTCGAGAGTCTCCATTGATATCATCAATAGCTATACTTGACGGACCATGACCAACTGAAAATGATAGTTGATTAGCAAAACTACCATTACCATAACCAAGAAGTACACCTACGTTATCGCTGCCTGCATTAGCAACGGCGATGTCTATACGAAAATCATTATTGAAATCACCTACAGCTATGCTAAATGGTACAACGCCCACGGAATAGGTTCCTTGTTCAGCAAAACTTCCATTACCATCTCCAAGAAATATGACTACGTTGGCGACTTCATCTATAACAGCAATATCCAGTTGAGAATCGTTGTTAAAATCAGCAAGAGCGACAGAGAACGGACGGTTTCTGGTTGGATAAGTCGTTTGATCACTAAAAGATCCGAAGTCATACACAGTAAGTATATGCACAATACTGCTATTATCACAACTAACAAGAAGTTCCGATCGCCCATCATTGTTCAAATCACCGCTTGCAAGCACTAAGGGTGTAGTATCAAAATAAGTTCCTCCTATATTCATCTCAACCATAAATGTTCCATTTCCCTTTCCACGAAGTAAACCAATATTTTTGTTTTTACTGTTCGTTACAGCGATATCTATGTATTTATCATTATTAAAATAATCTATAGCTAGCGAATTTGAACGAGCATTAGTGGAATATCTAGTTAGAATTGCAAAACTGCCATTTCCATTTCCGAAAAGAATGCCCACAGTACTACTACCGAAAGCAGCATAAACAATATCTAACTTTGTATCATTATTAAGATCATGAATAGCAACATATCGTAGATCAGAATCAGTACTAAGTGTAATCGTCGTTTGATGTTTGACAGCTCCAATATTATACTGAAGCATAATTAGTACATTATTGGCATGATAATTAGCAATAGCAATATCCATACGATAATCATTATTGAAATCACCCACAGTCACTGAATATGGACCAGAATAAGCACCAGTTGAGTAAGTTGCTTGAATCGAAAACGTACCATTACCATATCCCAGAAAGACACCTATAGTATGAGTCATGGCATTACTAACAACAACGTCAAGTTGAGAGTCATTGTTAAAATCACTAACAGCTACACTTACTGGATAAGCACCAGTTGAATAGGTTACCTGAGCAGTAAAACTACCATTGCCGTATCCGAGAAGTATACCTATATTATCATCTCCATGATTGACTACGACAATGTCCAGGCGAAAATCATTGTTGAAATCAGCAACAACTGCACTGGATGTACCCCTGCCAGTAGAATACGTTACTTGAGCATAGAAACTACCATTACCATAACCAAGAAGTATGCCCACATAGTTTTGAACAACATTAGTGACAACAATGTCTAACGAGGAGTCATTGTTAAGATCACTAGTAGTAATGCTGGATACATAAAGTTCTGTCGGATAGGTAATTTGATCAGTAAAGCTACCATTTCCATTTCCGAAATAAATTCTTACATTACTGCTGTCATAATTAGAGACGGCAATATCCAATCGAAAATCTTTGTTGAAGTCACCAATAGCTACGCCTGATGGGCTACTACCCGTTGGATAGGTTACTTGCTCTCGAAAACTGCCATTGCCATACCCAAAAAGTAGACTTAAGCTGTCATCATTTTTATTCGTGACCACAATATCCAACCGAGAATCATTATTTAGGTCACCAATTGCTACACCCGTTGGATAATTACCAACTGAATAAGTCATTTGATTCTGAAAAGTGCCATTTCTATATCCAAGAAAAACGCCTATATTGTTGCTTCCTTGATTAACGACAACGACGTCAAGTTGTACGTCGTTATTGAAATCACCGGTAGCTACAGAAAACGGGTTATAACCAGCTGAATATGTGGAACTATTTTGAAAGCCTTGATAATATCCAAGAAGGATATCAACGCTTTGACTATCGTCGTTCACAATAGAAATATCGAGTCGAGCATCATTGTTAAAATCGCCGATAGCAAGTGATGGAGAATTGAACGATCCACTTGAATACTTGATTGGTATTAGAAACGTACCGTCACCATATCCAAGAAGTACATCTAGAGTATTAGTACCATTACTACTAACAATTAAATCTAATCGATTGTCTTTATTTAAGTCGCCAATGCTAATCATATGTGGATAAACAGTACCGAGTGAGTAAACTGTTTGTCGTGAAAAAGTCCCATTCCCATAGCCGAGAAATATACCTATGTTTTTAGAGCCATAATTTGCGATGGCGATATCGAGTATAGTATCGCCATTTAAATAGCCGATCACAACTGAACTAGGATGTGAATTAGAACCTGTTGAATAGAATGTTAACGTTTGAAATGTTCCATTGTGATTGCTAAGCAGTATTCCTATATTATTTGTTCCGGAGTTAACAACCAAAAGATCCGCTCGAGAATCATTGTTGAAATCTCCATCAATTGCATCAGAGGGTAAAGAGTCATAACCTGTTAAAATTTCATTTGGATTGGAAAACTTTACATGTCCAAGTCCGTACCATATGCTAACACTCTGTTCACCATAGTTAACAACGATAATGTCTAAGATTTGATCATTGTTAAAATCATTCACAGTAATTCGATAAGGACGCGATATGCCAGTGGAAATTGATGTTGGAGACGTGAAAGACCCATTGCCAAGGCCACAAAAAATGCTAATGCTATGAATTCCAAAATTTGCTACGACAATATCTAGTATAGTATCATTATTAATATCAGCTACTGCTAATGAGTATGGTTTTGAATCAGGACCAGTTGAATAAATGACTGAATTTCCAAAGTTTCCGTCTCCATATCCGAAAAATACTTTTATGTTATTTCCAGCAACATTTGTAACAACAATATCTAGTCGACCATCGTTATTAAAATCTCCAACAGAAACAAATCGTGGAGCACTATTGAATTCAACGAGATTGTTGTCGGAGATTTTAAATTTGAGTTCACATTGTTGACCTAAACGATACAAAAGCATATTAAGACCTCGGTGTT